ACACCTGTACAGATCAAGCTGATTCTAGTTCTGGAACAAAATAGATAAAAACAAAATAAAACTTGACTAATAGTTAGCTCTTAAAATCATTTAATTAACATATCTGAATCTAATGGTTCCACTTATTTAAAACTTTAATGTCTTACAAATAATAAAAAAAAAAAAGTCTGATTTTTCTACAAAAATAAATGCAGATCAAAAACAGATTTACTTTTCATCTGTATGTATGAATATAGTTTTGTTGGATAAACATTGTGTAAGTATTTTAAATGTGAAAGCTAATCCTCTATTTGTGGTATGGAAATACCACACGTCTCACTCTTCCATAGTGTATGTTTTATATTTACAAAATTCTAACTTTTTTTTAATGTTCTATTTTGGGACATACTGAACCTGGTCAAATATTTCTTCAGTTCAACCACAGGAGTTATTTTTTGTAGTAGTGAATTGTAAGTACAGTTCCAGTCTTTCAAACACAGATTTGTTTTTGCTTTGACCAAGACTAGATGTTTCATTTTAGTGTTAACTTATATAGATCATGTGTATAACAATTTCTCTTCTTTCAATACAATTTATAGTCAAGTTAAGCTTATATCTAATTTATTCAAATACACTTTTTTCTCCTCATTAAATTTTTATTTCAGTTTATGACAAAAAACAAAAGGGGAGGAGGAGGGAAGGAAAAGGGGAGGAACACTGAACCTTCCCTACTGTATGAAGACGATAAGGAAATGTCACTTTAATAAGAACTACTTATACATGCACTACCACAATAGCACCATTAACCCCTATGTCACTTCGGCTGTTAGTGAGAGGCAAGCCCACCAACATGGGGAGGGGGGACAAGGGGGGCAACTGCTCAAGGGCCCGAGGAAATGAAATCTGGTTATGCCATAAAGCCCGCAAAGCATTTTTAGGCTATATCTTTATTTAATGATACAAACCATAGTTTTTGGCTTTTCTTTGCATATAGACGCTTGATATATTAAGAACGACTGAAATAATAATTTGAGTAATAATTAATATATATATTTGTTACTTTATAGATTTAATAAATATTTGTTGTTACTTTATTAACGTTTTTATGCTTATACTGTGAGGTAAAAATGGCTGCTGCTATGATTTTGTCTGGTTTATGAGCTCGTTGCTGTCCTAATTTAGGATCTTCTTTTTAATAAATTCTTGAAAATGTCAAAAAAGAGAGAGAGAAAGGGGGCCCAGCGAGGATGTTTGCCCCGGTGCCCGTGCTGGCTCTCGACGTTCCTAGTGAGAGGTAAGTCTCGGCAGTTAAGACAGTTGTGTGATTTGCAGAAACCAGGCTATGATCTCAACAGCTGTATTCCATACTTTTCAAGCTTTAATGTGGAACCTCAAAAATGTACTATCTGTACAATATTTCATGTTATTCACTTCCTTATGATCACCATCATCATTCCATGTGATAGAGAACCCAGAATGTTAGCAATTGGCAAGCTATTAACAATATGTGGTTCCAATAGGTGTTAACAATAGCTGTCATTGTTACAGTTGTCATGTTCATAGTATCATTTGGGCATAAATTTAATATCTGTAGAGAACTTCTAGTTTCAATCTTACTTACACAAGAAGTACCTACGTATAAACATTCTCTAAAGAAGTAAGCCTACATTGTGGAATCTGGTCATACTATATAGCAATATTCAGGTTGACAAAAAATAGCGCTGTATTATTGCATCATAATAGCTAGTAGTGTGTGGAACATTCTACACCTCTGTTGGGGTATAAATATGCATAGCACATGTAGATTGGTAGTTAGATCTAAACTGCATGATTATGAGTTTAGCCACAAAGAGTATATGGTGGCAATTTTTAATGTGAAATTATCACAGATTGTATTGTAGTAACAGAGTAGAGAAGAACAGTTTATCTTGTCAATTGTGTACTAAAGTAATTGAACCAGTCTGTGTGGACTTTGATGAAAAAGATAATTATTTAAAGCTCTGGATAGAACTGTGGTAACCAACAGTGTGACAAACACTTGTATACACATTTGACTTGTTTTAATATATTAGTTTTAAAACAAGTGGATTGTGTGCTGTTTTTTTTACTGTTGAAATTTAATACCAACAAGCCACAGACACCTACTGTAAAGAATCTGGCTCATATATAAAAACCTGAAATCTTGATTACACCACGATCTAATTGTGTTTATACTAAGAAGAAGAACGAAGCAATAGTATTTACTGTGATTCAAATTGGTTACTTTTATCTTGTGTCGGTAATGAACAACTATGAATTATAAAACAGTATGGTGAATAGTTGGAATTCAAGTAAATTCAGTACAAGTGATCAAATCTTCTGATTTGTGTATACTTAATATATAAGGTAGATATTTAAAACACTGAATAAAAATTTTGCTATTAATGCAGTTGTCTTTCTTGTACACTACCAGGTCAGGATTGGAGAGCGAAATTTAGCAGTTACGAGTACATCATAGAAAAACAGGCAAAGTTATAGTACTTTATTTAGAGATGGCTTCAAATTTCAGAATATTTTCAAACACAAAAACAAATATTCTTTCAAGTACTGTGTTGAAATAGGTTAACTTAGTTTAATGCTATGCCCAAGTAACATGTGAAAGCAATAAAATCACCTTGAATGCTGGTCAATAATACACTTTTAAAATTCAAGAAGGAAAACACTAGGTATTGAAGTCACCAAGAAGCCAGTCAACAGTATTGACCAAGAGTTGAAATTCTTGTGTGAGTGTTTCACTAGATTACATTTCAAGTCTTAAATTGGTATAGAACTTAAAACCGGCTTGAGAATAAATCTAAGATAATGAAGAAGGGAGATGTGGTATGACAATAATTCTAATTTTTCTGAAATTATATATCAGAAGATACTAATCTTGTTAGTTCACCTCAGGTCTTCCACAGCAGGATTCAGAGGTAGAAAACATCTATCATTTCATGGGATGATTCTATTATCTCCTACATTAGTTTTTGTCATGAGACTCCTTAACCACTGTGACACAAAACAGATATTTCCATAGTCATATGATTCAATTTACTTTATGGTCAGTTCATAAAGAAGACAAATAGTATATGAAATTTGGCATTTTCAAACATTCATTTCTGCTTGTAAAAAGTCAAAGTTATAAATTTCCAATACTGAAAATGTATTTCTGATAGGTACCTCTTCTCACAGTTATAGCTATTCTTGTTCAGTGCTGCCCTCTATATGCTAAACTTTTTATTGCATGCCATAAGCGTTCAGCTCCCATGTACCTCACAATCAAAGTGGTTCAACTGCATTTCACATGTAAATCAACATGCTACAACCCTTCAACAGTAGGAGTGAAACACTCCCTCCTGACACATGACTCGATTCTACTGAACCATCACTTTGAGTTTTGACAGAAAATGGAAGCACCAGTTTTCAGTGGGGAGAAAGGATGGAAGTTTGAGAGGAGGTAAGTAGCTATTGCAAATACATTTTCATTATACGAAAATTATAACTTCCGATACAGTACATTACCTTCACTCACAGATATAACTAGAATCACAAACTGAATAGGTGGAGGGACTAGTGTGAGGGAAAGAAAGAAGCATCCTTTGAAAGTGTCTGAAGAACATCCGCAAAGGGGAGATTCTCACAGTAGAGGATCCTTTGTGGGAGTCCACACTATCTATGTACCTAGTATACTCTACGCCCAGTGTGGAAAGAGGTGTTGCAAACA